CCCCAAAACCCCAAAACCCCAAAACCCCATGTGACGAAAGATTTGAAATGTAAGGATTGTGGTCGTGGGGTATATGATATATTGATTTAATGATTATTTATAGTTGCATTTAAAGTTCTAATTAGACTATGGAAAGCAATTCTAAGCTGCATCAGCACCATTTCCTCCCAATAAACCCACCCCTCTTTCACCTCAATTCAAGTTCCTCTGATAACTTCGAAGTAGGTCATATTCTGGCTAACAGCTAGGATGAAATAAGGACAGAGACTGGTGGAAACGAGAAACAGTTCATTGGAAACCTTTTAATCGATGACGATGATGATGAATAGAATTTTAATTTCAATAAGGACTTACACAGTCAAAAGTATCAAATCCACAATCAAAATATCAATTAGAATCAGTACTAAAGACAAGTAAACGAGACTCATTAACAAAGTGAATAAGATGTGGTAAGACTGTCTCCTGATAATTACAAAATTAGCAACAATTAACAAATCATCTACAATTATTAGCAGGAAAATGTAATAAAATAAGACCCAGTTGATAAACGAAATATGCTAAAATACTAATAAAATTTAGTAAGACAAGATAAAGGAAGAGTCTAGACTTATGACCAGCTATAGGAGTAGCAATTGTGGGATTAAGGGAGATAAACATAACCTCTATACGAAAGACTCTTGAAACTTGGCTCAGGAACGCTTGAATATGGTTAAGATGAGGATCCATAGATAGATGGATAAAATTTTACGAAAAAAGGTTACATGCCTGATGATGGCTTTTTTAATAACTAGGAATTTAATCAACAGTCTAAACTTGTTAATAATAGATCTGGGACAATGAAAATATAAAGAGGACAGAATTATCAATAAGACATGATAAATGATAATACAATGTCTCAAAATATTGAAAATATCCAGTTACAAGGACTTCATCTTTAGGAAGATATCATTGTAAGTTTCTAATAACTTATAACTGTAATTTATTTAGAATAATGACAGTCGTTCAACTAAGATCTATCAGAACTTGGGGTAGTTAGATTATGAATTTGACCATCACTCACCAAGAAAGTCTAATTACAATAGATAATCAGGTCCAGGAAAGGGTGATTCAAGTACAACTAAAGGTGAATCCATTGAATTAAATAACTGCCCATTCGTTAATGCTGAAGATACAAAAAGCGACTACTCTGAGTCGTTCATAAATGGTCCCAACAGTTTTAATACTGCTCCATTTCAAAGTTTAGGAAGTGTAAATTAAGGAAATTCGACTAGTTACCAAAATAGGCAGAATTAAACAGGAAATTCAATAAACATCAGTACTAAACAATAGTAAAGATACTCTCACAATATAGGGGACATCCATTCTTAAGAGTTTAATGAGACTAAATATCGAGGCTTAATTGCATAAGATCAATTCTTTCAAGGAATTAACACTCAAATAACAATTAATAATAATGCAATGCCATTACAAAATCAATACTCAAGAAATTCAGGCCCCACCTAGAATCCTTATTTTAACCAGAATAATGAGTAGGTAATAGATAGAAATCACTTCGGTTAAGCTATCCGAAATATGCCTCAGATGTTTAATTAAGGGATACCAAACTAATAAAGTGATGTTGGCTTTTTATTGAGCTAATTAAGGCTAGAGAATCAAAATTAATCTATGGGTGTAATCAGCCCTACCTAGATGCCATATAATTCTGGAGAGTACCAAAATCAAATTAATCCAGTCTATTCTTAATTTGAGTTAAACCTTAATCAATAAAGAAGCCATTAAGTTATAAGTCAAAAACCACAGACTTTCAACTATTAAAATCAGTTAGTGAATCCTTAATTTATTCAGTAAAATTAGATGAGTCAATACAACATGATGCCCCAATAGATGATTTCTTAATAAATACCTTAAAGAAATTAGAGTTTCCATTAAACAGGGAGAAACGGTATGCTACCCCCTACTTACCCTTAATAATTTATGTCTTAAACTCATGTAATTCCTACTGCTACTTAATAATAATAGTAGTAATTCATTCCTGTAAATCAAGTAATTTAACAAAATATTATGCTTCAATAATAGCAAAATATCTATGGGAGATCATCCAATGTAAGCTAAAGATCTAATGCTTCTGTCTTGAGTGGAAACTAGAACTCAAGACCTCAAATGACTTAGACTTCAGCCTTTTTAGAGGAGCTAAAATTAAGAATAAATTCAAGCAAAGACATTACTCTCCAAGATCTTTTGGGCCATTTTAGTGAATGCTCTCTAGATTAGCAATGTTCTAGATTTATCTAATAAAGACTAGAAGTTGCAGACGATGATGAGAAGTAGCTTTTATTCAATGAGCTTCTAATTGACTCTTAAAAATTGATGAAGGATGTCTTTGGAAATTATGTTCTACAAAAAATGCTTGATTATGGCAACCTTAATTAAAGAAAAATGCTTTATCTTTAGCTGAAAGGAAACATGATGCCGTTATCTAAGGATTAGTATGGATGTAGAGTAGTCTAGAAAGCACTTGAGGTGTTAATTCTATAGCAATAAGACGACCTAATCAATGAAATAAAGCCTATGGTTCAAGTTTGCGTAGAAGATTAGCACGGTAACCATGTAATTCAAAAGATCATTGAATAAGTTCCAAGCGAAAAAGTTCAATTCATTGTAGATGCATTTTAATAAAGAGTTTACGAAATGAGTGTTCACTAGTATGGCTGTAGAGTCATTTAAAGAATGCTCGAGCATTGTAAAGAGGAACAGATAAGACCAATCTATAGAGAAGTCTTTGAAAGAGTCCTTGACTTAACAAAGGATTAGTATGGGAATTATGTAATCTCTCATGTGTTAGAGCATGGAGCACCATAGTAGAAAACCTTTGTTATTAATAAAATGAGAAAGAAGGTAGTTCAATTAAGTATGCACAAGAATGGATCTAATGTAATTGAGAAGTGCCTCCAACATGCAGATCAGAACTAAAGAGATGAACTTATAGATGAAATTATTAATGTTAAGCTAATGGATGATGCAATTCCTTAAAAACATCAAAGCAGTCAGCAAAATTGTACTTTAATGGATTTAATGAAAGACAAATTTGGCAACTATGTTATCCAGAGAGTGCTCGAGTTCTGTAATGATTCTCAAAGAAAGGCTCTTATAGATAAGATCCTTCAAATAGCTACTCACATGAAAAAGCATAAGGGTCATGCAAGACATGTTTTTAACTATATTGAGAAAAACTACAAAATCAATATAGTTTTTGCAGAGGAAGAAGAGAAAAAAGGATCTAAAAAGTCATCAGGCAATGAAAGAAAAAGCCTTAATTCAAATTAGACTACCTAAAGTTTAAGCCTTACCTTGAGCAAGTAAGGGAGGAATGGGAAAATGAGTGATGCTAATCTTGGGCAAAGCCAAAATAGAATGTCCTCAACCAGTTTTAGTACAAATGACAATAAGAGTAATAGCGGCAATAATAATGGGTAGAGAAAAAGCAAGACAAAGAATAAGAAGAAAAATATAAATGAGCTTAATTTAGTTTCACAATAATCTGAGACCTCAATGGGATAAAAAAGTAATGGCGACTCAATGATGGAATTCGATAAGGGTGATCAGTATGCTTGAGCTTAAATCAAAGAATTAAACATTTGAACGAAATGAACATAAAACAAATATGCAAATATTATCTTACATAATAAATCTATATCAGTTTCAAACAAGTACATCGAGACATCAACTCTGTACCATGTGAAATTATATAGTTTATTAATTTTTCAAAACAATTATATCAATTGTAGAATTTGCTGAATTACGGGGTTTTGGGGTTTTGGGGTTTTGGGGTATCAATCTCTTATAATACTTATGTATAATTATCATCAAATCAATTAGAAGCTAGTC